TCGAGTACCTCGAGGTAAAAACGATATAAAAACTGTTCGTTTTCTAACACAAACCGCTCGTTTCGTGTCTTAGGCCATCAATGTGTACTTACATTTATGAGTCATTAAATCATGTTTAATTTGGACTTCTCTGTGCATGCTCTTTGAGGTGGTGACCATAGACCTCCATTATACGACTGACACACAAGAACGGTTTGACCTAAAAATATTCAAAATTGAAACTACTGTGGAAACAAAGACACCCACATCTTGGATGCCCTTGAGGTAAGATAAAACATACCAAAATTTATTTCAAAGTGAACTACCCCTTTAAAGTTCGACACAATTCTCAAGTTGTCCCACACAGGACTCGAACATACTATCTATTGGTCAGGTGCCTATATAATAAAAAAAAAATGTTTTAAAGGACTGATATTATGCAAAGACCCGGCCGTAGAAAGCTGTACACCGTCCGCCATTTTCTCCAGGTTGGAGAAGCTGTAGTGACAAGAATGTCTCGTAAGCAACTCAGGTGTTTTATTGTGGGAATTAAGAGTGAACAGTTTTCATTTACTCCCAACATCTGAGCCCTGAAGAGTTTTATTTTTGAAGGGAGATTGTCCTGTTTTGTTGAAACAACCAGAGAGCTCTTGATTGAAACTCCACCCTCTTCTTGAAAGCTAAAAGTTCACATGGACACTCTGAGGACATCAGAGACTTATTTTACATGATTTAAGGAAGCAATTTCCACCACCATGTGCAAAAACTCACTTTCTATTTGTTAGAGAAGTCTGACAAAGCAATGCAAGCTTCATCAATGGCATGAGTTTGGGGTGGGACTACCTGTTTGACAAAACAACGGAAGATGAGCGGAGCGTTTAAGAAAACTAAAACTGAAATTACTAGATTTTCAATGGCCAATTCTAACCAACCGAATCGTTAAACAGGATGGGTGAGTTTTGAAATTAATGATGAAAGTCAAGTCAAGTCAGTCAAGTCAAATATAATTATAAAGCGCTTTTCACAATACAGATTGAATCAAAGCTGCTTCACAGTATCAAACAAAACAACTTAACAGTGTTTGTTTATTCATGGAAAAAAAGACATCCAAGATGGGTCATTTAATTTGAATATCCCCAACTGGGCAAGCCAGTGGTTGGCAAGGAACCGAAAAACTCCATCAAGTGACCCGATGGTGTCCTAAAACTCCATCAGATGACTCAATGGAGAGAAAAAAACCTTGGGAGAACCCAGGCTCAGTCGGGGGCCATTCTGCTTCACTTGCATCCTTCCCACTTTGATAAATTCAAATGCAGTTTTGCAGTTTTCAATCCCTTCCTCCACAGCTTGTTACCCCAATTGTTTTTAGACTTATCTGTATCAGTGTGCAGTTATCATCAGCAATGTCCCCTGAGATGTCTGGTGTGGGGGGTTAAGTGGGTGAAGAGAGAGGAACAGGGACGTTTGACTTCCCACAGGGTGGTCCACCTTCAAAAAGCAGATTCACCATCCCACTTTCATTTAGCAAACACAGTTCCATTCAACCCACACAAAGAACAGAAAACAGTATAAGAACAAAAAAAAAAGCAGACTGGCTTACAAAGCATTACGTCACAATAGCACTCAAATATGTGGTGATGTTTGATGCACATCACTATAGTTAGGCAAGAGTCTGTACAGCTGGGTAAATGATTGCCGTGAACATGGAATTACTCGTTTGGAAATACCACATCAATGGGATGTTTAACTAATCAGAAACTAGGCAAACGACCATTTCTCTGTGCACCCAGGTGCTGAATGTTTTACCTTCCCCAGCAGTAAACGGGGCAGTAAATCCCAGCGTCCGTCACCTAGTTGTTTGTCTGATGTTGGAACCCCTCGGAGCTCTGCGAGAATCTCATCACCTTTCTTTCCCTTCATTTTCACTTGAGTTTCTAAAAACAAACAAACCTCTGCAGTTTCACACATAAATCAACACATAAAATGTAGTGTCATATAACAATAATTTTCTCAAAACGTCGTTAAATACAAAATGCTCTTTTTTTTTAAAATCCTCTTTAAAACTCATCTTTTATTGTAATCTTAACACTTTAATTGCCTGAGGTGCACATATGAAACATTTCATGCCAAGCTTAATGAGACTAAAGATTGTCATCTGATAAGATAGCAAACACAATGCTTTGAAATTTAACGGTGTAATGTGCTTCAACAGGTTCCTTCAACAAAATTTCACTGCTGCTCTAGAAAACCATTAACCATCATGTTTTTCTCTCATATTTGAACTGAAACGAACTCAGATTCCCCTCTCTCTCTGTCATCAGAGCACTGTAACAAGAGAGCCATAATATGGATCTTTGCCAAATCATCTGCCAGCCGTAACCGCAGTGTGACAGACAGACAAAAAATATTGCCTCCCCTTCACTACAGCGTGTGCATGAATTAACCTCGCACACAACAAAACAATAAACAAAACAGCGTCCCAAAACAACGCCTCCTGTTTGTACTCCAGCATTCAAAACTGACATCTCGGAGAAGAAGAAGCTACATCAGACAACTGTTGCTTAACATTCTCCAATTATCTAGCGAAACCAGAAGAGAGCCCTGATAATCTGAAGTGCACACTCAAAGGAATATAAATACACTAGGAGAGTGTTTGATTAAAAATAGTTGAGTGAAAAGTGATGAAAACCAATTTGAATGAATTAAAGGTGCAATGTGTAAACATTTTGAGCATCTATTAAAGGATTAGTTCACTTTTGAAAAAACTTTTGCTGATAATTTACTCACCCCCATGTCATCCAAGATGTCCATGTCTTTCTTTCCTCAGTCGAAAAGAAATTAAGGTTTTTGATGAAAACATTCCAGGATTTTTCTCCTTATAATGGACTTCAATGGGAACCAGGTCCAACCGAGGTCCAAACGACAGTTATAACAGTTTCAGATGCAGCTTCAAATGTCTTTAAACGACACCAGACGATGAATAAGGGTCTTATCATGCGAAACGATCGGTTATTTCAAAGCTTATTCCAAAAATGTAACTTTTCTAAGGACAAATGCTAGCCTTTCTCCATTCTGTGAGGCGCGTTTGCAACGTCACGTAATACGTAATTACGTTCAAAAGGTCACGGGCGACGTAGCCGGAAGTACAGAATCCAACATCGTTGTTTTACCTTTTAATTCCTTTTTTGTAAACGGCGTTTGAGTTAGTTTTCACGTTCAACCTATGCGTTCAACTTGTAAACACTCTGACTCTGTACTTCTGGCTACGTCGCCCGTGACCTTTTGAACGTAATTACGTATTACGTGACGTTGCAAACGCGCCTCACAATATATTACAAGGCTAGCATTTGTCCTTAGAAAAGTTATGGTTTCTAAAGTTATGGTTTCTAGTGAATTGATGCAATTAAAGAATCCAATTTCTCTGTTTGAAGACAAATTGTATATGATATACAGCATAGTCATATATCTATTTCTTGGCCATTACAGGTCCACCAATATCAAAACTCTAGCTGACAGTTAATAAACCGACAATTTTAAATATTATGATTAATTGAAAATCCAATTAAATATAATACACTCTCAGATTTGACAAAGGTCATATTTAATATTAAATTATAGGTGTTTTTTTAAAGATTTACTTCAATTGAGCCTGAGATTATAGCAAATCTTATTCTATGTGGGAAACACGCATGGCATGCAGCACAGCTATATCCAATATCAACCAACACTGATAAATAAATAAAAAACTAATATAGGCCAGTACCTGATATGGTGCTGAACTACAAGTATACAGACATAACATAATAATTACCACAACTGTTATGATTTTAGGCTAAATGTCTTTGCTGGAGGATTCAGAAAAACAATCATTGTATGAATCTCTGAATTGAGTTTTGCAGTTCTAGGCCAAACTAACTTTCTGCTGTAACGCAAAAGGATGTCATTCTTTCAAACAAACTTTTGTTGTGAGCTTGTTAGATTCCATCCACATTGCTTGCACTAATTTATTCAATGATAGATAGGGGACAAACCACATCCCTAAATGTTAGTGTTTTGCCACCTCCCCCCTCCTGCACCCCCTGCAGAGAGAAACTGTGTCATAATGCAGTACCCCTTTTCTCATTCAAATGACTGCCATTGTCTCTATAAGCAACCAGCTCTGCTATGTGCCACAGAACAACTGAGTCTCTATATGTTGCAGAAAATGAGTACACCAGGGCAGGGTGTACTGAAGAAGCTTCACTGAACATCCATGCTGCTTTGCGAGAAATGAGGGAGGGCCACGTCTGCTCTCATTTCCATCTAACACAATTCATATTCTTTAGCCCAAAATCAAGAGCAAGTTACACACAAACAACACACGTTGCCCTATATGGGAGACTACAATGGTGAATCAAATAGGCAGATTACCAAATCTCCAGAACTAATAAAACATATTAAAAAAATATTTTTGTTTCATGCTGAACTTGATTCGTTTTGTAAGGTTAGACTGTTGCTATATGCTTAGCTGTGAGTCTGATTAGCTCTCATTAGCATGGTTGCCTTGCCAGGTTATTATTTCTTAAAGCCACCGTTTATTTTGTTATTTCTGTTTCTTAAAGTGTTATAGTTTAACACTATACTGGGCAGTTTAGGCTGATTGTGGTTATTAATAATGAATGAAATCGTGTTCACTATTTTGTCCCTCCTCCTTAACGTTTAACGTTACTAGCATCACAACAATGTTTAATGCACCTTACCTTTTATAATTGAATTAGTTAACCTGTAGTTGTGTGTCATATACCAAGAACGACCGTTTCTTTTAAATATCGTTTAAGTTTTAAACTTCTACATACTTATTTTTCGGAGGGAAGACATTCAGGTTCATCTCGAAGCCTTTAAGTTAAGTTTGACGAATCCGCGCTATTTATTCCGGCGGAAGGGCGAACAACACACTTGAGTGAGGATCGCTTGGGATGGGGGCGGAGTGATACAAAGCCTGGCGGTGGACTCTGATTCGAAGTGAGTGAAGTGGAGAAACTTTTTCAAAAGTTCCTGGAGGTGTGTATCGAGACGCACGGCAGCCGAGTCCGAGCTGCAGAGGGAAATACGGAATTGGACTATATCGAAAACGCTCAATTTCTATGAAATTCACTCCAGTTAACTTTATGACGCTGCTTCATCTTAATGTGATTCCTTGGAACTTCAATCACCGTGTCATTTTTTAAAGGATGTATTATTGCTAACATTTCAAAAAAGGAGTAGGATCGAGTTTCCACAGAAATGGGGAATAACAGTCTTTGGATATTTCTGTCAATTTTATATCTTGTCCAAATTAGCGAAGGTAGGATGACTGATTATTTTCTCCCTTTTTTTGTAAGGGCAGTGTTTTAGGACATGTGTGGACGCATAACCTGTTACATTAGAATCGACGAAAGAACTTAAAACAAACCGATCTGCTGTCTTAGATTTATTTATTTTCATATATGAGGTTCAGAATCATTTGCTGCTTTGCTCACAGATGTTTGATGCAGGATGTGCTATAATTGATAGATCTCATATAACGTTACGTTTTTGTTTCAGTCCAACACTGGTTCGGAATAAATTTCAATGCAAAAAATTAAGATTTTGCGATATTGCACTTTCTAGTAACGTTACGCACCGAATTGTTGTGAAGATCATTGCAGAACATTATGCACGAGTATTCAATGATGATGGGATTTAAAGAGTTCAGACCACACGAGGACTTTCTCTTTGTTGGTGATGAATGTTGCATTGGCTAAATTGCTTGTTGTCGTGTAACTTTTACAAGTTTAGTTCTTCTACTACACAATATAAGTCATTTTAGAGGGCATTGCGTTAGTTTGGTCTGTATCCTTGTCTGAATAGCGAACCGTGAGAAAATAACAGTGAATGTCCGCTTCGCTGCACTGGTGATAAGCAACGTGCATAGTAATTGAGATTGTCATCAAGGTATAGCCTACTGTTAAATCACTGCAGTAGATTATATCTGAATTTTATATTTTACGTAACTGATTTGGTCAAAAAGACTTGAAGGAAAATATGCTTGTTGAGTTTTGTGTAAGTTCTCGTCTACTTGAAACTTGTGCTTTTTTGTTTACGATCTTTACAAATAACAATTATTCAATTATATATATTTTTTCATGAAGGTGATGAGCAAAATAAATAAATAAATAAAAACTTTGTTTTATCCAGTTTCTTACCAGAAAATTCTGCTACCTTTGTTTGCTTGAGTTGGAATACCATTTTATCTTGTTCTTGTGAGTTCATTCGGTTAGTCGATATACGTAAAGTAGATACACATAAAATAAAATAAAATGCAAATTCTGGAATGAAAGAGACTACAACAGATGCATGCGCTTGTCTTTCGGCAAGATAACAGCTAGTTACCAATAGGATACATCATAGCTAATATATCGATAATAGTACTTTAACGAAGTATTATCGGAAACAATACGCCTCATATCGCTTTTCGTATTCGATAAGAGTTCACGTGCTAAATTCTATTGTTATTCGATTCGAACAAAGCGGGAGAGAGTGAAATAATCTGGATGTTATCTCGCGGCACTCTCATAGATAAGACTCAATGTATATTATTTACCAAAGAGTAAATAAACCTACAGCTAACGAGGGGCCGTCTGTAATATGCCTGTTGTATGTGTTTCAATTTAAAAAAAAAAAATGAAATGGAATATGTCATATTTCAAGGTTGTTGATTATTTTTTGCTTTTATGGTTGAATTTGAAGTAGTCTCTGCCTCATTGTGCCCTCTCTTTCCACAGGATCGCGCTGCGTGGAGACATACAGGCCGTGCGAAAATGGAGGAATGTGTGTCGATTCAAGATGCTTGTAAGCTTACAGTTGCCATTTTTATATTGCAAATACAATTTTGTTCGATACACTATTGTTTTTAAGTTTAGTTGAAACTCAAAATTGATTGATAAATGCATAACATCCTCAGTGGTGTGTTGACTGTTCTAAACAGGTGGTTCTGGATGACATTATTGGCTATTGCTGTTATTCAGCCTTGGTTATCAGTTTTGCATAGTTTCAATCACTTTTGGCACAGTGTGGAAAAGGGAACTGGAGTGTAGCAAAACACAGAGAAATGTTGTATTGTCTTGTACATGTAAGCGGTGTGTTTTTGGTCTGTCCTATGAGTTTTACTAAGGAAAATAATCTAGATAGATTCTATGACTCCCAGTTAAAGGAGTAGTTCACTTTTAAAAAAAACTTTTGCTGACAATTTACTCACCCCCATTTTATCCAAGATGTCCATGTCTTTCTTTCTTCAGTCGGTTTTTGATGAAAACATTTCAGGATTTTTCTCCATATAATGCACTTAATTGGGAACCAAACGGTTCAAGATCCAAAAGACAGTTTCAGTACAAACTCCAAACTGTTCAAAGGACTTTAAACGATTCCAGACGATGAATAAGGGTCTTATCAAGCGAAACGATCGCTCATTTCAAACATAAATAACAACGTTTAAGTTTTATAAGCACAAATGCTCGCCTTGCTCTGTTCTGTGATGAGCGTTCGTGACTCTCCTGTTCGAACTCGTTCATCAAAATGAACGAATCTTTTTCCAAGTCAATTCGTTCATTTCGTTCGTTGAATGAACCAAATGACTCGAAAAATTGATGAACCAGTTTGAACAGGAGAGTCACGAACGCGCATCACAGAACAGAGCAAGGCAAGCATTTGAGCTTATAAAACTTAAACTTTGTTTTTTATGTTTTAAATGAGCGATCGTTTCGCTAGATCAGACCCGTATTCATCGTCTGGAATTGTTTAAAGCATTTTGAACAGTTTGCACTGAAACTGTCTTTTGGACCTTGAACCGTTTGGTTCCCATTGAAGTCCATTATACGGAGAAAAATCCTGGAATGTTTTCATCGAAAGACATGGACTTCTTGGATGACATGGGGGTCAGTAAATTATCAGCAAAAGTTTTTTAAAAGTGAACTACTCCTTTAATTCAAGTTGGACCCTATCAATTTGTGCTAACAATAAATGCTTTCTACACCTGTCCACAAGATATCAGTCACATAAAATATATGATTGAACTTCTGATAGTGAATCTATGGGAGCTGTTTTTGCTCATGCCAAGTAGTTTTTCAAAATACGTAGCGTTCTTCACACAGGCTGTCTTCATTGTTTATGCTAATACAAAGTGATTGTTATCACATGAAAGCCTGGGGCTGTTGTTTTATGTTTCCCGCCTGATTTGGAAAACTGTGTCTGTGCACTCGAGCTTCCATTCATGGTGATTAGTGTTTTTTTTTTTTCCCAGGAGGCACTGGTACGTGGGAACCACTCTCATTGATTTTATGTGACGGCCAAATCAATTGGGTGTTAAACTAAAAATCAATACTTTTGTTTTGTATGTGTATCTCTACAAATCATTGGTTGTAAGAAGCGGGGTGGGTTGGGGGGGCGGGTCATTCTTTATCTGAAAATGAAACTTTGCATTATCTTCTTCAGTGATGTTTATTACTTAATGGTATTTGTTCACTCCTCTACCTTTCCTTAAAACAAATATAACACAACCAAGTAAAACTGCCCCCACTGCACTAACTTATTATCATTTATGTAGCTTGAAAGAATAATTTGGTTATTTAAATATCTGTAAGGTGCTCTTGTTGTGTGCCCTCAAGGGAATAATCAACCTACTTCAATCACTCCACCATTAACCAAAGAATCTCACACCCTTAGGCAAGTAGTTATTGCCTGCCCACTGGCCAGGTAACCTGGATGAAGCCTCATTGTACTTTAAACCTGATATTTCAATGCAAACTCACACCAAAGGGTGGTTGGATATGGGTGAGCAAACTGGGAGTTACAGTATGTCCTAACTGATTGATGATTGTTGAGGTACGCCGAAGCCTTTACCAATTCATTTGTTTCTTGAAACTTGGTGTGTATTTATAATTCTCATAAAACTCTGGAATTAGATAAATATGGCAAGGTGGCACTAAAATGCCTTTTGTGTCAGTGTCTCCGTATTAATCATTACCCAGCACACCTCAGGCTAAGTTATGAACACAGCGTGTTAGTAAATGTGTAATGATGTTAAATAGTGCTTTGTTCTGTTGTCATTCTTGCTCTACCCATCTACACAGTTTTTTGTTTTAAACTAGACATTTTTTTGACAGTTATGACACATTTTATATTTTTTTAAGAGTTTAGTGTTATTGTATGTGTGTGAAGAGCAGTTCACTCACAATCTATTGCGTTTGTGTCAGCAGGTGGTACTATTTTTCAAGTGAAAAGTATTTCTTTTTTTTAAAGAGGACTGTAAATGTCATGCCATACAGCCCAGTAATACAACCATCTGGAATGGCCAGCCACAAGAGAGTGGTCCGACCAGTCCTTAAGCTATGGGGACAGTAGACCCACTCCAACCCCCTCCCTGGAGATCCTGATGAAATCAGAGATCTAAAACAACAGAAAGGGACCTTTATTCCTCCAGATACCAACCTGTAACCCAGCACCGCTGGAGAGACCAGAGAGAGTAGAAGGAGGAGGACTAGAGAAGAAAGGGCATATGAGAGTAAGAGAACAACAGAGAAACGAGTGGATAATGGCACCTTTAGCAAACAGAGGCAAAGGTTGAACTAGACGTAGTAAGGAGTACTGGTTGGGACCGCAGAGTTTCACAAGAACACCAAGCTGTGTTGAAATCTGGTCTCTGAGAAAAACCTTGGCAACAAATCTTCCACCTGTTCCTCCCCATGATGTTTTCCTTCCTTACCACGAGAGCTTCTGTGCCTGGAGGAAGTTAATTGTCCTATTTAGTGTAGGATCCTTGTTGCTAGAGCTCTCTAGTGACTGTAATATTATGCGAATATGCCCCTTAGGACTGTAATTGTCACCAGCTCAATTATATTGACTGTTGTTTAACTAGTGTCTGGTTTAGACATACTGAGCCCTAGTACTTGTTTGTATCCTATGTCATTTCATGGTCCCCTGCGCCGAGAGCTTCAGTGGCTGGTGCAGTCCATGACAGATTACAGGAGTAATCCTTCTCTAACTCTCTCCAATGAGTGCTTCTTTACAATGGGCCACAGTCCAATGCTTCTTGGGCTACTTTTATGAGCTGGAGAGTTAACATCTGGAAGGTACAGAAGGTAAATGGTAAATGGACTGCATTTATATAACGCTTCACAGACCCAATGGCCATGCAAGGCGCCATCAGGCTCGTCGGTAGCAGCTAGGGTTAGGTGTCTTGCTCATGGACACCTCGACACTTGGTCAGGTGGAACCGGGGATTGAACCACCAACCTTCCGGATTTGTAGACAACCTACATGTACCACTGAGCCACTGCCGCCCCAAGATATGTAAAGCATATCATATAATCCCTGTACAATTTGTTTATGTATTTGCCAAACTCGATGGTGGTGACACCAAGGATGAAGTTTGGAGTATACAGGAGATACTGGTCTGTGAATCTGGTTCTTAAATTCTGGTCCTGCTATGGCCGGTCGCTCTTTCAATCCCTCCTCTATAGGAAATGCAAGGCATGTAACGACAGCGCACTTGAAGAGTCCAGGAATGTCACTGAAGGTGAAGAGTCAGGAAGCTCTGTTAAAGTGTCATCGTGCCTCTAATCTCATCCCCCCCAGGGTGGAGAGCATGCAAGCAAGTGCAACCACGGTGTGGGATAGTCTCGACTGAAGCAAAGAGATAATTAGGCAGATTGCGAGTGTGTCATTCAGAGAGAGGGTCCAGCTGGAAGAATAAGGCGGGGGTGGGGATGTGTGTTGGAGAGGGGGTTGTGATGGGGTGTGGAGGGACAGCTGGTGGATGTTGTGATGGTAATCCAGTGAAGTCAGACCCTTACAAAGGGGGAGCGGAGGGCCAGGTGCTGCCATTGAGCGGCCTGCCGCCCCATGCCGAGACAGACGGGCCTATGGAGGAGAGGAGCCGGCGGCCCACGGGCCTCCTAACACATGCTCACACACACGCAGCGAAGTGATGTGGAGGTTTTCCATTGTCTCTGCAGGCTCAGCAAACCCAGGCCACTGTCACTCTATGGGAACAAACAGTGGAGATGAAAGTGTGTGAGCCACAGAGCAGAGAAAAGAGACATCAATGTTTGCGTTTTCCCCACTCATTTGCTGAAAAAGGATGTGGTTACAGTGGGGCTCTGTCCGTTATTGATGGTGTCGCCTTGACCCCAGTTGCGGAGTGAGTCTATAAATTGTGAGTGTTGCATTTTACTGACCCATGGAAGCTCTCTGCCTCTTAAGACATGATGTATGAGGATAGTTAGACATGAAGTAGGCTCTGCTATCACAGGCCTTCTGTGAACTAACAACTGGATTGTGCAAAAAGTTTTACAAAAGGGAATGATTAACAACTACAGTTGATATCCAAGGCCTCTGTTGATTTATTTGTAGAACCGTGTATACCGATAGTTATGTTTATATCGCAAAGGCTGGAACACTGTTTGTTTATATTGAGTTTGGCACTCAAGAGATAAAGTTGCTTTCCCTTAATATATAGTGGATTAGTGTGGAATGCTTTGTAAGAATCCTGCTCTGCCGCCACTGCCTTCATTGCCGCCGTTACCTCTAGCCTATTCAGGATGTTTTGAGCAAAACTGTCAAAATTATGTGTAAGGTAATGTCTGTTTGCGGAATAGATTTAGACATCGACTTGAAAGGAACCAGATTGAGAAGAGAACCCTACTGATTTGATGGGGTTGGAGTGTAATTGGGTTTGACTGTAGGGTGAATGAAGTGACTAAGGTCTATATGGTTTGATGCCGCAAGCAGGGAGTCCTTGTTCCCAGGCCCTGTCACAGGAAGTGCTGACTCCTGACCCCTCTACTTTACTCACA